GGGGAGTGTGCACATACCAATGTGACATCTTGTCTCATTGCCATCAATCTTAAAAGGTGACTAACTTCTCGAGTTCCCTAAGGGACTTGGTTCTGAAGGAATAGTTTACCTCATTTATGAATTAGTCTTACCCAGTAATGTGTGAGAGTGTACAATACAGTGCCTGGGTTACCAGCACATGGGCTTACTGCTCTGCTGTACCATGTGACCTACTTACCATAATTACAGACCTGGGTTATAAATGAGATTTCATGATCAGTCTTTCATTTATATGAGTATTGTGATGTAATACTGTACACTACATTGATTACTGAATACAGGTTGACAATCCCTCATCCGAAATCCTTGGGGCCAGAGGCATTTCGGATTTCGTAATTTTTCGGTTTTCAGAATGATTAGGGTTTTTTTTTTTTTTTTTTTAATGTGTATTAGCCCACCTGGACATAGATCACTGACCCACATTAGAGCCTGGGGGGCGAAAATATAATAAAAAAGTATAATAATAATACAGTATTACCCCGCTTTACGCGGTTTCACTTTACGCGATTTCTCATATACGCGGTGCCTCGCCAGAACCGAACTTTCATGTTCCGCGGTTCATCTACCCATATACGTGCAGAGTGTCCGGCTCGACGCTATTTTTAGATTCGCCCCACCCGCTTGCTCCCGGCTCCGCCTGGGCAAGCCGCGCGGTAAGGTTGCGCAGTGCATGTCTCTGTTGTGTTATCACTGACGTCATATGACGTATCGGACTGTGATTGGCCATGCATCCCTACCCCCTCTGCCGCAACCCACCACAGCCAGCCAGAGCCAGTGATAGTGACAGTGAAGGTGACTTTGAGGGATTTGTCAGGGAAGCCCTGACAACTGTAACTGATAGTGATGGTGATGCACCTAGTAATGGTGATTCACCTGAGGGCCAGTAATCTGCCCTCTGCCTCGGAACCAGCCTCCATCCCCGTATGCCGACCCATCTCTTCTACTAGCGTAAGTGTTACACCTAACTTTTAGTTTTCCTAACCTAACCTTTATTTTTCTTAACCTAACCTCTTCTATATTAATTGTGTGTGCATACCATCATATAGTTAAGATAATATTTTTACTACAACATAGCTTTGGGTTGTCAAAAAGTGGAGTTTGGGGGTCGGGCCAGTCTCTATTGGAATTAATCCCTTATGTTCTGTTGTTCACTTTATGCGGATTTCACTTTCCGCGGTACCCTGTGGGTTCAATTGACCGCGTAAATCGGGGTACCACTGTATTCTGTGTATCAGACAGTCTAGGAATGGCAATTTACAGTCATGCTCTAATTCCACAGTGAATTTGAGCGAGGGAGCTAAGTTGTTAAGTTGTGGCAGGAAAGCTTTTGGTCCTCATTACATGGTTAGACATCTTCAGGATACGTTGTGGGAGGATTGATCTAGGCACAACTTTTTCACTAAGGCATGTGTGGAGAAATTTCAAACGTATTTTCAATTTGTGGGCCTTGATCATCGAAGAGGAGTATTCAGTAACGAAAGGAGACAGTCCAGGACAGCTTGTAGAGAAGTAGAAGAAGTGGCTCATGGAATCCATTTATGCAAGTAAATCACTGTAGGTGCGCGTGATCTAGGTATATGCTGATAACCACAAGGAAAGAAGAAAACACGAAGTTCCCAAGCGCTTTCGTGTAATTCACATCTTCAGGGGTGGGTACAGACTAAGGAGAAGTATAAAACAGGTGTATATATACAGAGGAGGGTGAGATCAGGTCCACAATGGTCAGGTATTAGGTAATGACCCTACTAATCAATGTGGCATTTAAAAACTCATGCACTGTTAAACAAATGTTAATCAAGAACTCCCCCAACAACACAATTGGTTGCATTTATAAAGTTCCTTGCAAGGAATGTAATATGTTTTACTTAGGCCAGACAGGTAAAGATCTTGTAACTAGACTTAAACAACATAAATATAGTGTTAGGACAGGCCAGGAATCCAATGCTCTGTTTGTTCATTTGAGGGAGAACAAGCATTGCATTGACTGGGATAATGCCTCCTCAATATTACCTTGTAATTCAATTGACAGTAGGAACATCATAGAATCTAGTCTCATTAAACATACCGAAGCATTCAACATGAATTTGAGTAATGGCATGTACAAACTGGACAATTTTGTAATTAAGAAGATTTGTAACCAGGTGAGAAGGTTGGGTCACCTTACCCTCTGACCTGACTACCGATCGTTGAGGTGCTATTTAAAGATCAGTAGGGTCATTACCTTATACCTGACCATTGTGAACCTGGTCTTACCCTCCTCTGTATATATACACCTTGTGCTATACTTCTCTTTATATATATATATATATATATATATATATATATATATATATATATATATATATATATATATATATATATATATATATATATATATATATATATATATATATATATATATACTAGAACTCTTAAATCACTACTTTAATATCATACAGGTGATTAATTTTAACTCTTGTGCAAAATATAAGATGTTTATATTCTGGTGAAGTATAATTTGTTTATTTACTTGAGTTTTTGTTTTTAGCTAAAAAAATTCATAGAAATTACCAAGGTAGAATATAATTTACATTGCTGGAATTCTTATAAGATAGTGATTAATTTGAATATAAAGAAGCTAAAATTTGCATTAGACATACAAATTTTAGATCTAATTTAAGAATTTTATTAGAGAGAGCAAAAATTTTATCTTTTGTGCAAAATATGTGATGTTTATATTGGAATTATTCGCTCTCTTGCAAGGAATCCAGCAATACAAATTATATTCTCCTAACTTTAGTCTGAGATATTATATATGATTAAAACTGTAAGCCTAGTGCTTTCCCCCAAACGTTTCTCGGGAAGGTAGGGGGTAGGGAGGGAGGGAGGGGTGACAGTGACATGTTTGACAGTTGGCGCCTTTGGTGTGAAGTATTTAATTGTTAATTTATGTCCTTTAGATTGAATTTTAGTTTTTTGCTTATACAATTTAATAGAAGTGACCGGGGTGAATTTAATTTGCATTGCTGGAATTCTTATAAGATAGTGATTAATTTGAATGTAAACATGGAAGAGATTACTGAATTGGCTGAGTACCTCCTCAGCTTATCAGCTGATGTTCCAAACAAAACGTGATTTTCGTAAGGATTTCGTGAATTGAATTTTTTTTCGTTAACCGAATTGAAGATTCTTATGGAAGGTAATTTGTTAACTGAGATTTCGTTAACCAAGGCGTTCGTTAACCGAGGGACCACTGTATATACAGTGATCCCTTGTTTAACGAGTGCCTTGGTTAACGAGATTTCGGTTAACGATTTACCTTTCATAAGATTCTTACCTTCTGTTAACGAGCAATCCCTCGATTAACGAGTTTGTAACGAGCGACCCTCTACATGTTTTCGCTTGCATTTGGTGGTCCACCAGCTGTAGTATTAGTCCGCCAATACAGTAATTGGTTCTAGGGCTTAAATTCCTTACTATTTTAGTAAATTTCAAGAAGTTTATACTATTCAATAATTTTAAAAGTTTAATATTAAATTTTTTAGTAATTTTAACAATTATCGAACATAAATGAAGTACAGGAAACAAGTTTTATGCACGCCAAACAGCCTGTCAATACACCAAACAGGCGCCAGTCTCTCTGTCTTTTCAGTGGAGGTAACATCTTGCTTGAGACTCTCTTCAACTAAACGCTTTTTTTCTGTGTTTCCAAGCAAATTATTGGTCAAATTGAAATTTATTTTACATATTGACAATATATAATGCAGTGCAGTGTTGATTTAAAGAAAATAATCTTGAATTACACCAAGAGAACTAAAATTTTATGGGTGAAATGGCACCATGGGGTGACTTCTCTTCCACCCAATGCCTTCCCTTCTCCTCCACCCCCATTCTAATTCCCATCATCATCATCATCATCATCCAGGGGCCTTCTACATACACACCTCAAAGTAAGTGTACTTTACTACCTTTTTTGTTGATTTTAGGCAATTTTCGGTGAGCTGGAACCAATTACCCATTGAAACAATGGTTTCGGTTAACGAGCAACCTTCTGGAACGAATTGTGCTCGTTAATAGAACCCACTAACAACATATATATATATATATATATATATATAACATATATATATATATATATATATATATATATATATATATATATATATATATATATATATATATATATATATATATATATATATAAATATGTGTGTGTGTGTGTGTGTGTGTGTGTGTGTGTGTGTGTGTGTGTGTGTGTGTGTGTGTGTGTGTGGACCATGACTGCTTCGACTTACGACCGTCGGGACTTACGACCGCCGCAGTTGTGACCATTTATTCATTTATTTTTTTCTTCTTCAAATAACTCACACATTTTCTTAACCGAAATGTTTCCAGTTAATGTAGTCTCCATGTATAATTAGAAAATTATGGTTGCCCCATGTGCATTCAGCTGACTACATTAAAGGTAAGTGCTGTCACACTGTATTCATTCCTTATTATTTATTACTTTCACTGTACTGTATTTCATTGTAGATTTTTTATTAAAATTTTTTTGTTTTGTTTTTCCTATGTCGGACTTGCGACCATTCGGACTTATGACCTGGATTTGGGTCCCTAACCCCGTCGTAAGTTGGGGTCTAGCTGTATATTAGTTTATGTAGTGTAATGACAAGCCTAAATGTTTAGAGTAATGACAGTTGGTGTAGTATGTGTGTACATATGTATGAATAAGTTAAACAAGAATGGATAAGTAGAAGTAGTTGTAAGAGAAAATATAATGATAAATAGATCAATAGATACTACTTGTATAAGTAGCAGGACAGTGTTTACAGGTACAGTATATTGTGTAGCATATTGTACTCTCAGGTATTTTGTGCTGTTAAATGTGGCCAAAGGAAAGTTGTAGTGGGAAGATTGGATATATAACCCAAATGCTGCTGGGGTAATTAAAATAAATTACCGAAGCAATTATTATTTTACAGATAATGAAAGTTCTGAAGAATCTCTGGAAAACTCAGGGGATGGCACTGAAAGCTTGGAAAGTCAAAAGATGACAAATCCTTCCTCATTTATTGTGCCAGCAGACATTAAACCTGCTCTTGTTAAACACCCACCTGTGGATTCTCTGGTAGAAAATGATGATGGCTCTGGGATGGTTTTATCAGCTAACATTATAACTTCATCATCAAATGCTCTACCAGGAACAATATTACCTTCCTCCTTCTCCAACACATTCTCAACAGCGTCGGTTCACCAGTCATCACAAATCACTGGGATAACAGATCCTACATCAATTCTTGCTTCATCGTTAAATGTTGGGCCGTCCCTTTGTGAGACAAGTTATGGAGACCAGACACAGGTGATCAAGTGTATCAAGGTGAGTGACGAGTGTGAAACCTTCTTATAGTTAAGTCTATTAGGACCAGTTTTTTACCCATTTGTGACACATTGGATAAAAGCACTAAATTGGGTACATACAATAGTTACTTTCAAACATGCTCTTTCATATTGGAAGGGGTGCCATGACAAACAATGGTTGGGATAGCCGCCATCTTTGATTCTATATGGCCACCACTGATATTGTAAATTTGTTGCTAAATTACTCAAATACCCATAGAATCTATTAAACTGATGATAAATCCACCAAATTGACTATATTTGTTCATTAGAATACTGGTAAACCTCTATTTATTATCCCTCTATCTATGATAATTCACTTTAAGGATGGTGATATCTTGAATTCTCTCCTCAACTTACACTGTAGACAAAGTCACATTAACCATACACATTTTTGTGCCAACTCAGCATATGGAACACATCACTCACTTCATTTGTCAGCTGAGGTGTCATCTACTAGATTGCTGCCTCGGGGCCATCTGGTGAACTTTATTCCAGGCATTGTTTCTTCTTGGTTACAAGTGTCTAAGAAATGGAGCTCAATATTTCTCGGTTATCATGATTTATTTTTTAACCTTATAATGAGAGGACATCACTAGAGTTCACATTGTACTCTGTTTTAGTGACTGAAGTGCTTTTGATCTGATCCTCCACCCGACAATGGGTGACCTGACATTGCATCAGAAGTTTAGTAATATGAAACCACTAATCCTCCATGCCACCTCTACCACAAATGAGAGAAGAGTTTATCTACAGTGGGTGGACCTGACATTGCATCAGGTCAGGTCAGTAACATGAGACCCACTAATTTCCTATCACACTTCCATTGCAACATTTCTTATGTTTTTTCATAAAAAATTGATTCCCAATCATCATTATCATGTTTTTGTGACTGAGAAGTGAGCAGAGTAATTTTGAACTTAAGTTTCTTGTTGACATACACACCCAGGTCCTTTTCACATTCGGTCTCAATTAATGCACTTTCTTCATCCTGTTGGGACATGTAATATGCCTCCTTACTGTTGGTGTGGCCTAGATGCATCCTCTTGCACCTCGTTAAATTGAATCTTAGCAGCCATTACTTCAACCATTCTTGAAGCTCACAGAGATCTTTCTGTAGCTCTTTACAATCTGTTTGATTCTTTATTTCCCTAAATATCTTGGCATCGTCGGCAAACATTTGTATGGAGGAGTGTATAGCTTCTGGCATATCATTTATGAAGCAAACAAACAACAATGGGTCTAATACAATGCCCTGTGGTACCCTGCTCGTCATAGGTACACATGACGATTTCATACCATTAATCACCACACACTGTTTGCGATTGTGAAGAAATTCTCCAATCCGCGCTAGGACATTTCCCCGAATCCCATATGCTTCCAGTTTAATTCTCAGCAAAGGCCTTGGCAAAATCTAGGTATACAGTTATTGCGCCGGTTAATGTCCTAGATACGTTCTTGAAAACGTGATGTTAACCGAAATGGACGTTGTCTGAAATTACATAAACATATGGGATTTATTCTAATAGGGGTTCCATGCACCCAACCCCAAGCTTCCCATTTTATGACCATTTAGACCCACTAAATATATATATATAATGTTATGGTAAATATCATAAACACACACAGGCATGACGAGGTTTATTACAAAGTGATGAAATGGATACTGTAAAGTGGGTAGTCCACAAAACATGTAGCTATGTCTCTCTTTATTTGAGTGCCCCGTCAAAGAAGTCCGTTTTCTCTCACTTCAGGACGCTTGAGTCGTCCGTTTTCTCTTAATCTTAGAGTGCAGTGCACCAGAGACTTCGTTATTCCTTAATGACACAGAATTTGATATTGCAACTGGGGTTGCAATTGTTGAGGCAACTTAGATATGCCTGATTACAGTTGGAATATTCAAGATCCATTGTGAGTGATGTTTAAAGCTTCAACTGTCTTTATGGTTGGTAAAACTTGTCAAGTCAGTCAGTCTGAATGGCATGTGTTAGGCCTTGTGTTTGTACAACCACTAAATATATAAATATATAATGTTATGGAAATTATCAGAAACACACATAGGCATGACGAGGTTTATTACAAAGTGATGAAAAATATACGATCAATACTGTTACAGTGGGTAGTCCACAAGACATGTAGCCATGTCTCTTTATTTGAGTGCCCCGTCATAGGAGTCCGTTATCTCTTACTTCAGGACGCCTGATTCGTCCGTTTTCTCTTAATCTTAGAGTGCTGTGCACCAGAGACTTCGTTATTCCTTAGTAATGACACAGAATTTAAATTGCAACCCCAATTGCAACTGGAGTTGTAATTGTTGAGGCAACTAGATATGTCTGATTACAGCAAATGTGTTATTGTCAATTTGTAGGTGAAAGATTTTATCCTCAATAGATGTAGGTTAACATTACACCTGGAGGCAAATGCCTAAGGAAGGAAGGATATTCCTTTAACACATAATATCTGGCCAGTATGAGGAGGATCATCGTGTCTCCGTCAGTGTGTCGTGGAGTGGTGGTCCAGCAGGAGTCACGGAAGTTTTTTTTTAGGGGGGTGGGGGGGGGCCACGGACGTATATGCGATCGGGCGTTGTTCGGTTGGACGTTAACCGGCGCATGACTATATAATGTCAATATTTCTCCCTTGTTCTAGAATTTTAGTCTAAACATCCAGTACCTTGAGTAATTGTGTTAAGTAGGATTGTCCCAGCATAAAACCGTGTTGGCATTCCTTTACAAGGTTGTTTTGTAGTAGATGTTCCATCATGGCATCTCTTATGATGCTCTCTAGTACTTTGCACACTATGCTGGTCAGGCTCACTGGTCTTAGGTGGGTCAATTTGTTAAAAAAACACCCTAACCCTCAAAAAATCCTAACAAAAGGTTTTTCAGTGCTTGTTTGACCTACTGGGTGTTGTAAACAACAGAAAAAAGTCTACCAAAATCTGACCACTGGAAGTGGGTTAAAACTGGGTCAATTCCAAGGTGGCCCCCCACTGACCCTGATATCAGGAAGGCAGCTGTAACTTCCTTATTATTAGGTGTAGAACACTAATTTTTGTATCTAACTTAGGGTTTTAAGGGTCAAGGAATTCATTGGTGCCAATGGATTTATGACTTGGTCCATCGAATCTGTAAATCCAAGATGGCGGCCAATATGGCAGTCAACACTCCCAAACGATTTGGTATAGAACAGTGGTGTTTTCTCTATTTTTTTCTTTATTAGATATTAGTTATTTTTACCTTCTTTCAGCATTATTTTCTTGAATATTGAAGAAAGCTGAACTTAGTGCTCAATCTGAAACGAGTCAGTTGTGTCTAGGATATCAGCGGATGCTCTGTACTGCACGAGCGCTGATCAAAGCAGATCGCACCGAGTCTTGGCTGAATCACTTGTGTGCCGTTTCCGACGTCTTGCCAATATTTGCTGCAGCAGGACACTACAACTACCTGAAGTCTGCCTATCTCTACATCTAAGGAATGAGTGAACTGGAGAGCAAACATCCAGATGTTTACAGGAAGTTTCAAGAAGGCTTCCATGTCATTCATCGAACAAATCGGTTTTGGGCAGGCCTCGGTTGCGATCTAGTTATCGAGCAAACACTTACGAAGTCGCTAAAACGCACAGGCGGCTTGACTCATGGCAGTAAGATGGCAGAAGAACAGCGAGCATTGTGGACAATGTCAGCCCCCATAATGTCTGACTTCAGCACTGCCATGCAGGAGTTCAATGATCTCACATACACCACAAGTGAACAACACAAAGATTCAACCGACGCCAGAATTGAAAGAGACACATCAGACCTTTTGAAGATAAGCACAAAGCTGATTTCATGTTCACCTTTCTCCTCTGACCCTTCATTGAGAAATATCATCAATGGTATGGTGGTGAAAGAAGACGTCATTGTGCATGAAGACGAATCCGTTGGAAGGAACATCATCGACAGAATGATTGGACAGCCTGTATTTTCCTTCTCTTTCAAGAGGAAAGACAAAGCCAAGACCCTGGGAAATTCTTCTGCTGTCAAGGTTGATCCTGGTTTACTGTTCCAACAATTCCTCTGTCTAGAGGAGGTGATGAGGACAAAAACATCTTGAGAAAGGCCGACAAGCCTCAACTAGCCCAAGCCATCGATGACCATTGTAATAAGATACCATCAAGTGAAGCGACATCAGATGCTATCCCGAAGACTGAAAGATAGGTGCTTGACGGAGGCTCCTTACTACACAAGCTGAAGTGGAGGAGGGGAGATACCTATGGTAAAATAGCCAAGGTATATGCTGACTTTACAAGTAAGCACTATGGGGCAGCAACTGCTGTGTTTGACGGGTGTGGGGCAGGGACCCTCGATAAAGGATAACACACACCAGAGATGGGAACAAACCATCAATTATCCGGTTTTGAACTTCACCAGTGAAATCGAATTTGAAGGGAAGCAGGAAGAATTCCTTTCAAGGGGAACTAACAAGCAACAACTAATCAGCTTAATAAGTGTGAACTGAGGAGGTGGGCTGTACGGTCATTCAGGCATAAGGGGACGCTGATGTGGACATCACTAAGGCTGCAGTTAACACTGCATATGCACATTCCACCACGCTGATTGGAGAGGACACTGACTTGGTAATTCTTCTTCTCCATTACGCCACAACAGATGGGAAACCACTGTATTTTAGATCAGACAGTCAGTCAAGAGGCATTCCAAAAGTGTACAACATCAATTGCCTTAAGCGTGTTCTGGCAGTGAGTTGTGTACACAATTGTTATTTCATCATGCTTTCACAGGATGTGATTCAACGTCCCGTGTTTACGGTGTTGCAAAGAAATCGGCCTTCCAAAAACTTGTGAAAGGTGATCCAGTCCTCCAATCCTGTGTAAATGTATTCACTTTACCAGGCAAGAACCTCACTGACATAGAAAACCTCGGCAGCCAAGCGATGGCTCTTATGTTTGGTGGGAAAAGCACATGGTCTCTGGCAGCCTTGTGTTATGACATACTCACTAAGAAAGTTGTCT